CGCTATTTGGATTTCCTGCGGTTCGATTTGGTCCCAAGCTTAGCAGAGTTATTCCCGAACAACGAGGATCCTGATATTCCTGAGGAAAGAATTTGGTTTCAGCAGGATGGTGCACCGCCCCATTATGGAGTGCAAGTACGGGAGTACTTGAATAACACGTTTACTGGCCGGTGGATCGGGCGACGCGGAACAATCGAGTGGCCTCCGCGTTCGCCTGATTTAACACCTCTAGACTTTTTTTTGTGGGGCTATTTGAAATCGCGTGTGTACACAAACAGACCAGGTGATTTGGAAGAACTTAAAAACCGTATTCGTTTTGAAATAAATCAAATCGACCCGGGAATGCTTGAACGAAGTGTAGACGGCGTTTACACACGCTTAGGACAATGCCAAATGGTACAGGGTGGGCAATTCGAACAATTTCGCTAGACTTACACAAACATTAGTGTAATTTTACTCGTTTGAAATGTAATTTTGTCAACTTTGTCCTTTTCGGAGCCATTAATAGTGTAAGTAAACAATTATCACTTATAAAGAACTTAAGGTGCATTTTTCTAAAAAAAATTGTTATGTAAGACATCGAAATTTTCACACCGTTGTTTAGATAATTATCACTGTTATCAATTTCGAACGAAAAAAATACGCGTTGTCATTTAAAAAAAAATTATGTCATCGCTGCCGTAAGTGGATTATCGAAAAAAAAATTTTTACACATAACAAGGTGCCCTGGAACAAATAAAAATCGATGGGTCTCACCATTTTTCGAAAAAAAAATTGTTTAACGAAAATATGAATTTTATGCAGAACTTTTTTACCACGCTGTATATGAACAGTGTTGAGGTCACGTCTAGGGGGCGCTAATTATACTGTCCTATCAATGTAAAAATTTGTTTAACTTTTTGTATTTTACAATTTTGAATTTTTTAACTAGAAATTATTGAATTACGTTCAATTCCAAATAAAAAAAATGTACTTGTAACAAATCGATAAACTCAATCGTTTTCGAGATACAGACGTTTTATATTTTTGAGATTCGGCGGGAATTAAATTAAAACATAATTTTTTCCAAAGTAGTAGGCATTGACAATAAATTGACAGAACATTATACCCGAGAAGTAAGAGAATACCTTAATAGAAATTTCCCGCACTATTGGATTGGATACGGTAGCGAAGTACCTTGGCCTGCACGTAGCCCAGATTTAAATCCGCTGGGTTTTTCTTTTGGGGCTATATTAAATTTCTAGTTTACAAAGACATTATTAATAGTCAAGAACAGCTGTGGACAAATATTCAAGAATTCATATTATCAAACAACATTTAAATAAATACATTGAAGTCGCTGGTGGTTGCCTTGAGAATCTTTTATGATTAATAATTTGTCAAGATATGCATAAAAATATGTTTAGTTGCAAACGTCTTTATTGTTAATTCAGGCTTGGTATCTTATGACCTTCTAATTTTCTAATTTAATTCCTGCCGAATCTCAAAACTTTAAAACGACTGTATCTAGAAAACAGTTGAGTTTATCGATTTGTAACAAGTATATATTTTTTATTTAGAACCGAACGTAGTTCAGTAATTTCTAGTTAAAAAATTCAAAATTGTAAAATACAAAAAGTTAGACATATTTTTACATTGATAGGACAGTATAACTAGCGCCCCCTAGACGTGACTCCAACACTGTTTGCATATTCGTATTTGCCACCTCAAAAGGCGTAAAACTACAAATTTTCAAAACAATCGGTCCGTGCATACTCAAAATATAGCAAAAAATTGAAAATATTTTTTCAACTTCAACACCCTCTAGTATGAAAAGGAGCAACAATTGACGAAGGCATGTTTGACTCAATCGCTATATTTTGATGTTAACAATCTGCCATTAAGCTGTCTGTGTACCATTATTAACGACTCACCCTGTATATCTACGCGTTCTTTACGCACCGAAAAAACAAGCTCTACCTACAAAATAAATGTAGGACATGATAAATAATTTATTTACCTCCGTTCTTCAGCGGCGGAAGTTCCTCCTCCACTAACTTCAAATCGGTTTCTTTTGGAAATCCGTCGAATTGTTTAACAAAAGTAAAAACTTTGGCGTTAATTGGCCGCGCATCTCCGAACGCCCTTGCCATTTTTACGCTTGTTTTCGAAAGAAACATTCGAATGTTATTCATTTAATCTAACTTATTTTACTTAATCGGTGTGCGATAATATTACATAAAAACAAGATTTTGTATCTTATCAATTACTGAAAAATTTGGATGTTGTACACAAGTTGAGTGCCAACTATTATCTGTTTGTATTTATCGAAGCAATAACACAAAGATAAAACATGACACGTTATTCTAAGGTTCATCACATTACAGCCAGAGCACACCTGAAGTGAACCATATGCGAACATAAAAACTAATAATATATATATATATATATATATATTTTCTATTTTATGTAATCCATAAATATTGTTTATCGTCCGATTGAGTGCGTGCAAACCTTATGGGTAATTGACGCAGTTAGTTATACTCCGCGGTCGAAATTATAAAGAGTGACTAAGACAATATAAAAACACTATTACCATAATGCGTGTAAAATATAAAATGATTTTTATACGGTACGACGTCTGAACGTCGATCTATATTCTATCTCTGTCTTTTGCACTTGGTAGGGAATAGGGAAATGCTTTTTTAGTGGGTGTAAAACGGACTTGATTTAACCCGTCCTGAGAAACGCCATAGCATAAGCGTAGACGAGGGGTCTAATTCCATGGCTATAATAAATTTATAAATTAAAAAAACACAATTGGAACGTTTTAAATTGCTGTAATAATTAAAATGGAGCAAAGTGCCTGTTATAGCAAACCGTAAAAAATATTAGATGTTATGTTTTATTACATTTTTTCAAAATTCGCTATATCTTGTTGCCTTTTACGCAGACACGCCAATGGATTTTCGTTCCCGGCACGCTTCATCCCCCTTACTAGTCCAAAAGCTAGCGATTAGTCACTATCTATAATTTCGACCGCGGAGTATAAGTCCGCGAATTTAAAGATAACAACTGTTTTCCTTTTACAAATTGTCTTGGATAAATTTTAGTTTTCTTACATAATCTTAACTGGACTAATTTGACAAAAGGAACGTGATGATTCGTAATTCTGTCAAAAGTCATCATATCAAGATAGACCTACATAATTTAGGTTTTCGTTTCTACACCGGTTAAGACACTATTTTATAGATAGGTAGGTACCATTGTAATGGTAAATAAATATTTATTGAAATTCCTAATGGAGTATATACAGGGTGTCCACACTTATCGGCGCACTATTGCTAATTCCGTTATTATTGGAGATACGAAATCGATTAAATTAGCAAACTAGTAGCATTTGGGAACCGCCTAGCCGGGTGTCTTGGCCGATGGATTTCGATCGGGCGAGGTATAATCGCGGACGCAGGCTGGAACTTCGATGGGTGACCTAAGGCAGGCTCAGGATGTGGTTGCGGCAGCCTACCAGAGGCCTGCGTCGCTCAACACCTTCCGCCTGCGTATGGTCCCCGATAAAATAGTAGTGAGAATAGAGCAATAAATCTCTGTAACTCAAGACCATGCTTTCATACATAAAAAATTGTACGAAACTGCCACCAAGCCACCCGTGTAGTAATAGAATGGTACTCGAGTAATGAAAGGGGGGTGTACAAGGGGCCTAATAAGGCCTAAGTGTCGCGATGGAAAAAGCAATGTATACATACTAGTTGCAGTTTTTCTATTGATTCTAATGGTGGAATCGAAAAAACAATTGAGCATCGCGTTTTCGTAATTTTTTAAAAAACATGTTTTTTTATGAAACCACCCTGTATATATTTACATATTTTAAAAGAAGAAAGTATTGTGAACAAAAAAGTATTAGTACATAACTCTCTTCAATTGAAAAATAAATGAGAAATAGGCATCTGAAGTTTTTCATACTTATCTCAATAAGTCATGTCAGTAAGGTCAAAAATGTAAACAGTAAAAAAAAAACTGAAAATGCTGTGACAACAATAGTTGTAACAACAACTGCCAGTGACAACAACAGTCAAGTTAATTAATTTGTTGGATACCTATATTGTCAAAATAACTACACTAAATCAAAGTAAAATAAATAGTAAACAGACTTATACATATATAAAAAAACCCTTGACATTTGGCGCAAGGGCTCATTAATTAATTCTTTGTTTTTTTGTGGTGATAAAAAAATAAATAATAAAAAATCTTGTTTAGTCAAGTAATTCTTTTCAAATTTGGCACACTTATACCGGGTGTTTCATGAAGTTCTCCCGGCACTAATAGAGGTTGTTCCGTGGGTTATTTCTAGAAAAAAAGTTTATATAAACATGTCTCCGATTTGCTTTACTTATTGAGCTACACGAATTTGAAAATAAAATAATGGAAATTAATTTTCATTTTTATTTTTAGAACATCGGTAATAGTGATACACACATTCTTAATTTAAAAGGTTTTCGAAAATTCCACCTCCTACTTCAACACATTTGTCAGCACGCCTGTGAATTGCTCGCGATGCATTTCTAATATTCGCGTTTTTTTAATTTGCGTTGCAGCATTAACAATTCTTTGGATTAGAGCTTCGCGTGTTTCTACTTTCTCTTGATAAACCAAATCCTTCATCCAACCCCACATGTTGTAATCTAACGGATTGAGGTCTGGAGACCTAGCTGGCCAATTGTGTGGCCCACCTTGACCGATCCAGCGACCAGGGTAATGCTCATTTAGGTGAGCAGTGACAATTCGGGAAATATGAGGAAATATACTGCTTCAACAGTATTTTGGTATATTCTTTTTACTATGCGTAAATATAGTACACTTTGAAATAACTATCACAGACTATCTAAAACGTACAAATTTTTGAAAAGCACAATAAAATACCTATTTTTAACTAGACCAAAACCGACTATATGTAGGTTCCATTTAAAAAAGTATTTTAAGTCGAAAACCACACGAATTACAAAAAAATAAGTACGCCACTGAATTCTACGTAAAGGATAGGTTTTTTCGTGATTAAAAAAATACTCCAGACTTCGAGTTACTGTTTCTGTTTCATTTCGTCTTACCTTACTAACCAGAATATATCGTGAAAATATATAAATATACAGTATTAGAGAATTTCTAATCATAAATTTGTATGCTTTAATTAATTCTTATTTAAAAAAATAAGTAATTTCCACTAATGCATGAAAATCTATCAAAAATTTAACCTCTGACGTTGACCTGACCACAGGGAGATAAGCGCGCAAAACAGAAAAAAATATGATACCGTACTATATAGCAGAGAGTATTCAGATGAATGTAAAGTATTAAGTCATTTGATCTAAGCTTGTAAAGTGTAAATCCTTAATGTTTAACATATAGTCTCAATCAAGTCTCAACATTTCAGTAAAAAGTCCAAGTCGCCACTAAAATTACTGAAAATATTTAAATTTTAAAATTTTTTATATAGTTCAAAAACTAAAAGACATCGAAAATCTGTCGTGACTTAAAGATTTTTCTCGTATCTTTCTTTCTGTACAGTAAAAAACTCGTTCAAATGGTCTTATGCTCTGAATCAAACCTTTGTGAGATCTAGACTGACGAGGTAAGCCTTACAATTTTAAAAGAGTTAATATATTTTTTACAAAAATAAAATTGTGAATAATGAATTGAAGATAATTTATAATAGTTATTGGGAAATACCTACTGGGCTTTTCAAATTTGTGTGTTTAAACAGTGGCGTAAAACCTAATGAGTATTTTTCATATTTTTACTCTTGTAGCTTTTGATTGATTTTTTTTTTCATTGAAATGCAGATAGAGATTGTTTTTCTTATAATTTTTCTGTTTTTTTAATAGTTTTGTGAACATTAATTATTTTTAGATTTAATTCTGAATATAAAGAAATGTAATGGCTATTTTATAATAATTTGGAAATAAAAACAAAATAATGCATTTTAAGTTTCAGAAAATTTTTGAAATGGACTATTTGAAGCGTTATTAAATAGGGGCATAGCATTTGTGCATCGCGAAAAAACGGTATATTCTCCTTTTGGTCACATGGTTAGTAGTCACATGTTGCTTTGTTAAAACTGGCCTAAATTTGACACTTGTCACTTGCCATCTTGCCAACGAAGCGTCCAATGTTTACATAGGGAGGTTATGGTCATAAGAATTTATAAATAACAGCGATTAAATGATGTCCCCTGACAGTAATTAGAATATCCGGTTTGTTTATCAGCCACCCACTTGAATGCGTGACTTAACAAATAATATTTACTAGTTGCAGTTTTGTTGAAATTCCGCAGTATCATGATATGGAAGTAGACAGTTATTTTGATCTGGATGTTGCGAATATGTTGTGGATATTACACCAAAAATGACAACAGATTTAAGTTCAGGTATATATTTTGTAATAATTTAATAGTAGAAGTAGATGCAGTTTTGTTCCATATTGCAGCAGCCATCCCTCCATTGTATAGAGAGATTTTCGACATTTGCTCAAACGATGGGGAACCTATTCACAGGGAAGTGTATCAGTGTTTACTTTCACACTGTATGCTTTCAACCGAACAGCTTAGAACAATATGGGACCTAGTAGGAACACCTCAGGGACATATCAATAGAACAAATCTTTACAAAACACTCGTACTTGTAGCATATGCCCAGCAAGGCAAACAGTTATCTGACAAACTGTTTGATAACTGTGTAGAAGCAGGTAAGATTATTGAATTACAGTATATAATTATTTGATTGATGTCAAAATGTCTTAAATGTATGTATAAAGAACTTAGTTAAAATACAAAACTGATAGAAGAGTAGTTCTAAGAAATTGAAATACCAATCTGGATGAATATGAATCATCTAGGTACTTTTCTTGATGTGGTCAAGTTAAATATTGACTCATTTAAGTTGTGTATCTTGTTAATTTAGTCAAGTAGGTTCAGACATATTTATTTTAAAATATTTTCGTCTTTTTACGAGTTGGGTAAATTCCAAATATAACATCTGTAATTAAATACATCATGTAATAATAAATAACATATAACATATTATTGAGTGCAACTGAAATTCTTCTAGATAATTATTTTTATTGCAGTCATAATAACCACTTTTATTATAAATAGTAAATGTTCATGTATTTGATTCTTGGCATTTGGACGTTTTAGAGTACCCTTCACCTGGAATCAGCGACTTAACTCCTGTAAAGAATCTCAAAATTCAACTTAACATGAAACAAAGAGACGCAGTAGGATTTAATTATGGCGCCATTGTCCAAACAGATATTATAAATATTCATCTTGTACCTGAGAAGAAAGGATTGTTTCTGAAATACTCCGAATATATCGTTACCTCAAAGAGATTTAACAGTAAAGTTACCAGGAGATATAACGACTTCGTCGCTTTACACGAATTGTTACTTAATCGATTTCCTTATAGGTATGTGAGCAGTTTGGATTATAATAATAAAGAGATTTGCAGGAATCTATAATTTTTATTTTTTGCATTATTTCTAGGTTAGTTCCATCTCTTCCACCCAAAAAAATTGTATCTGATGCACATTTTTTAGAATCTAGAAGAAGGGGGCTGCACAGATGGTTGACATTGGTTTGTAGGCACCCGGTGATATGCCAGGATTCGTTGGTTCAGTATTTCCTGACTGACCAAGGACCTGAATTTCAGCATCGTATCAAGGAAATTTTCCGAAGGGTTCCCGATGAGTTCATGACGTCGGATATTGCAGCTATTGCTAAGGTATTTTTATTATTCTCAAAAATAGTATGATACTTATAATTTCTACTAACTTTCCAGGATTTGTTGCCATCAGACCATGGTCAAATAGCTGCGAATTCGCAAAATATCCGTACCCTTGTCAATATTATTGGCAAACTGAAGCACTTGTGCGAATCTGATGTGGAACGGCAAAATGCCTCTGGGAGGGATTTGGAAGATTTCGGTTCACAGCTAAAAGCGCTGAGTACACTGAACATCACACACGGTCAAGATTTCATCGAAAATTGGGGTGAAATTCAGAGAGGATTCGGCTTCTTCTCAAGGTATGTTGAAAAAAAGTTAATACACAACAATAATTAGGATATGTAACAAATTTTAAAAATAAAATTTTTTAATATCTTCAAGTTTGCTATCCATTTTTTAATGAATTTTTTGTAAATCTCAAATGTAAATATTTAAAATATGATTATTTATAAAATTATAGAATGACCACTAAAAACAATGTTTTTGAGGTTCGTTAATCCTAATGTTCTAATCCTGGGCCCAAATGCATGACCCATTGAAAGTGCAAGTAGCGGAACAGTACACACTATCATGGAGTCACTTAGCTGAGCCCGTCGCCAGAGCCTACCTCAGATGATCGACATTGACAACTGCCTGGCTTCACTTCTTGTCCGTTTCCAATTTACACAATCGCAATTATTTCTATATTCGTTATACTTCCCACATTGGTCATACACTATGAATTCTTTTTATTATGCCTCTACAGTAAAAATTGCAATGCTAACGAATTCTTCTTAAAAAAAACTAAGAAAGTTAGCGAATTCTTTTCATATCAATTTGTCAGAGCCGCCCCTAATGTTCCTCGACACTGAAATAAAATAAAGCCAATATAATCTGCTATGACGAGCGATGCTTCACCGTTAAAGGTTCGGACCGGACTCACTTATCCTTTATCATTACCACAAAATTAGTAACTAAGCTGACCTAATTGTGTATGATAAAGTGTATTTAAAATTACGTTTTTTAATTAAAATTTCATAATCTGAACGAAAGGAATCCATGCCCTCAGAAACAAATAAAAAAACGGAAAAATAATGTGAGCCACTTTCTAGATAGAAAGTGGCTCACATGAAATAAAAATAAGTTCAAACATCACAACAGAACCATGAATGAGAACATGGCGTGCGACGTAGGGCAACACTTCCGAACAAGAACGGCTATGTGATATTTTCAGTATTTCATTTTTTTTTTTTGAAAAGAAGATAATTTACCAGTCCTGACATATGCAAATAAATTGTTAACTGTAATGTAATACTGTGTGTTAAACGCTTTTGCCCCAATGCTTTACAAAAAAATCAATAAATATATTTCCAACTGAATTATTAAGAACTTTTTTTGGGGAAAAATTATCAACTCCATTTATAATGATGGTGAATATCTGCTCTAGTTAAAAATATATATAAGTAAAAATGTCACAATTAAAAAAAAGAAACTGAAGAAACAAAGTTATTGCTTTTTCCAGTAAAAGAATTGAGTGTTATTAGATTTTGGCCAACAATTCCCATATTTATCGAAAAATTTATTATTATTAATTTTAGTTGATTAAAGACATTTTCTTATAAGCAAAAATAAACTTAACTTCAGTCAACAAAATAACATATGATGTCACAGTAGCAAATTTACCATTCAATTGATGTGATATTCATTAAGGACACTTCAGATATAAAAAATTAAATACCTAAAAGATAAATTTTATATTTGCAGATCTATAAAATTTACAATTTTCCAGATTGATGTACAACCTGTATACCCTAATCAGAATAATTTTCAGGGAAATACAATCTCTATCTGTGAAATCTTCACAACACGCTGATACGGAGCAGCTTTCGGTATGTGAGAGATTGGGCCTTCTCTTAGACATTCTAATTGCTCACAAAGAACTATGTGAGAGGTTAGAAAAAGGCCTTCACCATGACCACACTGTGGCTCTCTCGAAACTGCTCTCTTTGAAAAAACGAAAGATCCAAGGGGTTATCAGGGGCACTGATGTAAGCTAAATGATGCAAATGGGAAGCACAAGCTTTTAAATCTTTTCCATTACAGGCAGAAAGTGTTGAAAAATTGGAATCTAAGATGCTGACTCAAGAAAGCGTCATAACCAACATGGAGTTAAGATCGGATTTCAGTTTGTACTGTCTGCACATTGAAACTCTGCTAGTGTATGCTTATTTGGGAACACTCAGCTCAATTTTCAATAACTTCGTAGCCCTCAAAGTGAAATCGCTTTCGGAGGTAAGAATTCCAAGATTACAGAAATTTAAATGCATGTTGTATCAAATTTAACGCACTTTGGAAAATTGGTTTCATATTATACTTTAAACGATCGTGTTCTCAAAAATTTCGAATATGTTGTCAAGTTGCATCTAGGAGCAACTCGGAACCACCCCTTTTTTTTGTTTGCTCATCTAGGGGTGGTAAAATATTACTTAAATATTTTCATCAGGATTTTCAACTTTATGCCGGAAGAAAGTTCTACCCCATCTAAACTCGGAACCACCCTTGTTTTTAATATTTTACCACCCCCTAGACGAGCAAACAAACAAAGTTCTGGGCTCCGTCTCACTAATGTAATATAAAAAATACAAACCATTTACATTTTGAAACGGCACACCATGATACGAAATGCCTAAAAGCTGGCCAAAAATGAAAAAAAAGTTTCTATTTGGAATTTTTTAAGTATCAGGTTGGCAATAGAGATAGTTGGGCTATTCAAATTGACCGGTGGAAACAGTTTGCTGTTTATACTGGAGCTAGAATTTGAAGTCGAAGTAACCTTATTGTGATGTAAAAATTTATTTATTGTTCTGATAAAGTCGTAATAAAATGGATGTTGTTCCAGGAGGTATGTAAAGTATTTCAACATTATAAATTATTCATTGTCCACTTATTTTCATTATTGTTTATGACAAATAATGCTTAAATTTATTACGAAAATCTTTCAAAAGTGAACTTAAAAGTTATATAAGGCACCATAAGGCTAAATTACTTATTGACCCGTAATCTATGATCAATTTACTATAATATTATGAAAAAAACGTCTGGGCTTTCAATTTTACGATATGAATAAAGCAAAAGTTGCAATGAATTGTAATTCAATTATTTCGTTAATGTCGAACAAAAAGTGAAAAGAGTATTGCACTTATTATAAAATAAGTAAAAATAATGTTTGGAAAAATACATATAAATGGAATAGTAAAGGGCAATAAGTAAATAAAGAGAAAGAATACTCGAGTATGACAGAAAAGGATAGTCGATGCATAATGATTTTATAATTTCAGGAATCTAATTTTGTCAATTCAAAGCTCCACAAAAAAAAGTGGAATTTGAAAGACAGGACCCTGGTATCTATGTTTTTGGGGTCACTGAATCCGAAACCGGTGTGTTTGATCCGATCAGGTCTGCGTTAAGGTCAGTTCAAGGTCAAATGTAGACAATCATTTGCCAACAAAGTAAACCTCCATATCTATACGTTTTTCGGGGCGGTAAATCCGAATCCGGTGTGCGTTTGATGCGATCAAGTCTGCGTTTAGATCAATTCAAGGTCACATGTAGAAAATCAATTGCCAACAAAGTAAACCAATGTTTTTGGGGTCGCTTAATCCGAATCCGAGGTCCCTTTGACCTGATCAGATCTTCTAAGTTCCAAACTCAAAACACTCAAGTATTCATTTATGCGTATTAAAATTTGAGTAACAAATAAGATTAAAGAAAGCTTTAATTCTGAGCCCGTGACTTTCAACAATTTTCAACAGAATAACGTGATCAATGACAAATTTTTAAGAATTGTAATTTGTCTGCTTTACAATAAATTGAATTTTAGCATAATCAGTGTGGTTAAAAACCCCAATATCCACTTTCGTTAGTTTATTTCACTTTTGTCAAATTTCGTCCGCCATATTGGATCCGCCATTTTAAATTTTTCAATTTCAATATGAAATTCGTAATCAATGTTGTCAAAAACCCCGAAACACCTATTTTTGTCAGTTTAATTGACTTTTTAAAATTTAATCGCCATATTGGATCCGCCATTTTGAATTCTTCAATTTCAATATGAAATTCGTAATCAATGTTGTCAAAAACCCCGAAACACCTATTTTTGTCAGTTTAATTGACTTTTTTAAAATTTAATCGCCATATTGGATCCGCCATTTTGAATTTTTCAATTTTAATATCAAATTTGTAATCAGTTGGGTCAAAAACCCCAGTATACCCACTTTTGTACAATTTGGAATAAATTTTAATTTTTGGCCAGCTTTTAGGCATTTCGTACCATAGTGCGGCAATGTAATGGTTGTATTCCCATTCTCAATTCACCTGAAGAAGTAATTTTAAGTAAAATGTGGAAATAGTAAAATCTTTCTAAAGTTGTTATTTTTATGAACAGTCAAAGCTCCTTATTCGCGGTTCCCGTATTCGCGGACCAAAAGATTGTAACCACTTCCCATATTCACGTGTGAAAAATTATGTATTCGCGAATCCAAAACTAACGATACAGATTGTATTTTTAGAATAATGTGTATTTATTTGTCAAAATAAACAAATAGGTATCAAAATATTAAATATTTATAAACAAACAAATTTTAGTGTCATGAACCAGTCCTTTAACAAAAGTCACTGCTTGCTCACACGTGCCACTATGGCCTTTGATAAATGTGACATTAAACTTAAAAAACCTGAGTGAATGTTTACGGATGGCAAATGAGCTTTGTGATTTCAATTGATCTGTCTGTGGAAGCAAATTGATAATGCCACAGCTGAATATTAATCCAAGGCCTTTTATTAGTTGCAAAACAAGAAAAAATCACTAAATCCTTTAAACCATTGCTTAAACCTGATAATAATAATTAATATTGTTAAAATTTATCTCAGTAAATTACTTTTATTATATTTTTTTATTATTTTGCAACAGTGGAACGTATCCCCTATATTTCCATATAAAATGCCATTCCATATTCGCGGTATATTTTCGGAACATATCCCCCGCCAATAAGGAGCTTCGATTGTATTAATCTCTGGCCTACATTAGAATGACAAGAATTCTAGACAGGTTCTGGAGAATTTTTCTTCCCATGTTCAGTGTGAATTTGTGGTCGGAGCTATCTTATTATTAGATGCAAACTTATTTGTTTCAATCTGTAGCCCATACAATAGTTTTTTCCCGCAATACCAACAGGGAGAATATTTTTGCTTTGATTTTTGGTAACAAAGAAAATTGTTTGATTTCATTGGATAGAACTTTTTTCATTTATACCTTTACGACAAAGTAAAAATATGAGAACGAGTAATAAAATATATATAACGAGCGTTCAAATAAAAACGTGGTCAAGTTGGTTCTGAAAATTTGGACGTAGGGCGTAGCGTATAGCAAATGAACTTAAACGTCATCTGTCAAAGCGCTATATCGCCGCTATCAATTTGAATATTTTCGTTTTAAAAAGCGTTTAAAATGGTGTTTTCTCAAGAACAAAAAGTGTTTTATCATAGAGTCCTACTTTAGAAATGGACGCAAGATTGATGGAATATGGAAGTATTCTATTGAGGAATGTTTCATAGAATTTCAAAATCAATTTCCCGGCGTTGTTGAGTACAAAATTTTTCAAAGTGCAGTTCAGCGTCATGTTAATGTTTTTCATGAAACGGGCAATGTAACAAGAAAAGAAGGAAGCGGCCGACCCGACCTAAAAAGCGGACTGAAGAATTAAAAGAAAATGTCCAACAAATAATGGAAAATGTACCAAGAACTTCTGTACGTGTTTTATCACAAATGGTGGGAGTATCAGTCGGTACCTGCCACACAGTGTTAAAAAAAGATTTGCGTTTGTTCTCCTATCATTTAACTTGTCAGCAAGAACTTCATGAAGTTGATTTTCCGCGACGGGCTGTATTTTGTGAATGGTTTTTAAACTACGGCGAACTTCATAATATCACCTTTTTTTCTGATGAAGCCTGGTTTCTTTTAAGTGGTTACGTAAACTTACAGAATATGAGAATGTGGTCTTCTGAAAAACAAGATAACTTTTTTGTCGAGGTCCCTCTACACGCTCAAAAAATTGGAGTTTGGTGTGCTCTCAATCGAAGGAGGATTTATGGACCTATTTTTTTTAATGGTACTCTTACTGCGCAAAGGTATAGAGAAGAAATTATCGCTCCTTTTGTTAACCAGCTGGAAGAAAACGAAATTACAAACTTTTATTTTCAACAAGATGGCGCAAGGGCACATACGGCAGGCGAGACGATGAATATGTTGAGGGAAGTTTTCCAAAATCGACTAATAAGTCTCAATGCTGAACATGAATTTCCACCGAGGTCATGTGATATTACGCCATGTGATTTCTTTTTGTGGCCTTACCTTAAAAACACTATTTTTGAACTGCCTATTCCTGATTTAAACCATCTGCAGGCTCAACTTATAGACAAGATTCATGAAATTAACAATACCCCGAGCATCTTAGAAAATGTCTTTAATTCTTTGAGGAACAGGTGTGAAAAGTGCTTGGAACAAGGAGGGGGACAGTTTCAGCAGCTGCTTTAATTTATTGTTATAACAAGGAGGGGGACACTTTCCGCAGCTCCTTTAATTGTATGTTATTGTTATCATGATTATTCTTTAAAATAAAGTTATATAGTCATTAACGTTATTGAAACTGACAGCTGCTATACAGCTCGTTGAGAAATGAGGTTAAGTTGGTCGCTATAAGCTACTCGCCTACGTCCAATGTGTCAGAGCCAACTTCGACCACGTTTTTATTTGAACGCTCGTTAGTATTGATTGCTTTATAAACTTGATAATCATTATCTTCAATTTGGAGTATTACTGATTATTTACAGGAAAGCATTTCTGTTTTTAGCTCCGTGATATTTGGGAACGAGTTCAACCTTTTGCTCAACAACGTTCTCCTGATGTTTGTTCGAATAACGCAGGGAAAAGGAGTGCCTAGTGGTAGTGGTGGTTCATATTTTATGAAGTATATATGTAAAAGGAAACAAGTGTATAAAAAAAAAACAAAAAAAAAATCTGCATTTCATATTTCTAATCGGTTGGGATGGGGCTTATTTTAACTTATTTATATTTTCCCAACAAACCTATTCTGATATATTCGATAAGTGATTATTACCCGGGTAGCAGTTTAAATATCACACTACGTTATGGCTACAGTCTTATTAAAAGTATATTTTATTTTCTACTTTCGAATAATTATTTTCTCTAATTTCTTAAGTGTGTTCAAGTAACTATAAACATTTTATGTTAAGTAATGTAATATTGGATAGTATGGAGAAAATATTAAAAAAACGAATTAGAATTGTATATGAAATTGTACGGTATCCCATTTTGGAAATTTTTCTAAATTTTATCCTAAAATAGTTTCTGCCATTAATATAAAAAAATAATTAATGTAAAACACATTAACATTTTTTTTTTAAATAACTGCGTAAAGAATCATATGGACATATTAAACTTGCATATAAAATTTTCCTAACTCTCCAGTTAACTCTCCAATGCTTTAATTTCGTTTTAATCGTACTTTTTACATTCCCTTTTAATCGATATTATATATGGTATATTTATTTACATGTTTTAAACGTTATTTAATATGGTGTTAGGTTTTTGTTACCAGCGTGCCTTATTCTGAAATATTCCTATTATCGTTTATTGTAACTATGTGATATATTCGAACTAAAAATTGTAAATTTATATCATTGTTATTGTAGTTAATAAAAAATTCAAATAACGACAGTTATTTAGTTATTTGTTAGCGTTAATGAGAAAAACTGCATAAATTTTAAATAAAGTTGACTTAGTCTTCATCGCTGCCGATTCCTAGCTGTTGCCATAAGAATCCTTCATTTTGTTTTGCTATAATTTTCAAGGTAAGTGTACTGTTGTTTTCATTTTATTAGGTATACAGGGTGTTTGTAAATAACTGCGAAATATTTTAGGGGGTGATTGCCGAAGTTATTTTGTGAAAAAAAGTTCATATAAACATAGGTCGAAATATGGTTCGTTTCCGAGATAGACATTAAATTTTAATTTATTTTATTAATTTTTATCAATTATTTCAGTTTTAAAGATATTGACTCGAAATTTGAAAAACGCTTTGGAGGGATAAATGAGCATTTTTTGACATGATCTGAATATTTCTACTTGCACCAGGAACGTTCGTGCGAGAATGCCACAAACCTATTTAATAAAAAAAATGGGACGCCACTGACTTTTTCCTGTTTTGATATTTTTTTAGAAATCTGTCATCAATTATGAATGAAATTGGTCTCTCCAATTTTTTTCTTAGAATGCACCGTTTTTGAGGAAAAAAATAAAACATTTTATTGCAAGTTGTATATTTTTAATTTCTACCGATACATTATCGAATTTCTGTTTGAAATAAAATGAAAATAAATAAAAATTTAAACACTGTATCTCGGAAACGAAGCATATTTCGACCTACGTTTATATAAACTTTTTTTTTACAAAATAACTTCGGCAACTATCCCCTAAAATATTTCGCACTTATTTACAAACATCCTATATATCTATAGATATGCACGTTAATAAATAACCATTTTAAATACATAAATATTATTTTCGGACACTGAAAGACGTCAGGATAATACTATTGGTTGCTGAAAAACGTCGCCTCATGGGAAAAGGAGCATTTCTGATACGAGTTTTTGTTTCAAATTTGTAAAATGGCCAGCTATTGTGGGTGTCGGCGAAATAATTATAATTGATAATTATTACATGGTGATTTACACGGATTAAAACCGCGATTAGCAAGAAAAGGTGTCGCTGTCGGGTATATAAGATTTAGTTGAAGAGCGTGCCAGAATTTCTGTTCATTTGGGCTATGTTTTTCCATTGCGTCTCCTTTGTCAGGCAATTCGGCATTGCAGCGTTTAGTGAGGAAATAGTACTATTTCTCACTCAATGATTGGAGGTAAGTGTGCACAAAATTTTAGTAAAAATGTCATTAAAGTCCTAACCCACTACAGAATGACATTACTTATTCATTTTTATCTACAGGGTGTGGGAAGTTTGACTGCCATTACTTCAGCATGAGATAGCATAATCATAAATGAACAAAGAAGTTGGATATAAGAAGAGGCATAAGATTAAGTTTTCAAAATACAGTGAATATTAATATTGGGAGTTTCATCACAACGTGACAACAGCACTTAACCAAATGCTATACACAGCTGATGCATACCACGTGCACGCAGCAGACTTGTCCTATGGAAAAAATGTAAACAACTATTATTATTATTATTAAGTCAAGATGATTGTTTTCTAGTTTTTTAAATAAATAAAACAAAATGTATCGATTTTGTAGTACGAAGATAGTGTTGTGCTTAAATTTTAGCTCGAATTTTAGTAATTATGAATCTCTTAAAACAGGAACTTAACTTTTAGTCAAATTATGAATTTGAAAAATATGTAATTAAAGTACCCAAAGATTCACGGCGTCCAAGTAATCATACGTATTAAAAATAATTTAGGTGCTTACCAAAAAGCAAAGTAATTTTTATTCGCTGAAAAACACCTCAAAAAAGGAAATAGTGGTACGCAATATACACTCCAATACGGTCAAATTCCAGATACCAACTGAATTGTGTATTGGTGGACAGCTTAGTACCTCGTGTTAATCACCACGACATCACATTGCTCGATATGAATTTTAGCGATTTTTTTTTATTACGCTAATTATTTTTAAGTATTAAGCACAAAATTCAAAAAGTTATAAATGTATTTTATGGTATTCTATGCACGCAGTTGTCAATATTCCCTAATGTGAAAACAAGACGTGCCTTCATAACACTTATAAATTAGTAGGTCACTCTTTGCCAGTATATACAAAGTAATACTTTAAACAGTAGGCATTGAGTAGCATGGCATTTAAAGAGAAAGACTTTATAAAATATCTCACCCACACCAAAAACACATTCATACTTGCTGTGCTACTTGCGATTGAATTAAGGATGGTCATTTACACGTAAATAAATTCACGTCAAGTTCACATCACATTTTTAAACATTTAAAAGCATTTTAAGACAAAACAGAAGCAATCCTTTTTTGAGTAAACCATTTTCTTTATTGGAGGAATCCCAGAGAAGTATATTCTAAAAAATTTGGAAACCGATTTATTATCAACATCCCTTGTTCACCGAATTGGTTTATATAAAAAAATACAGTTTTTGGTTACTTTATATTTTTAATTAAAATTACATAATACTATAAGCCATCAACTCAAACAATACCAGCTGTTTTCAAAACAGAAATAATGCTCCATTAAAATTTTTATTAAAACATTCAAAATAATGGTTTGGGTTTTTAATTGATTAATTAATTTATTAATCATTAATATAACTTTTTTAAAATAAATTCTAAAAATATAACCATATAATTTTCATTCTTACGAGGGTTGCCTTTTATGTTTCGGGAATGGACGATCCTGGCGCTGCCTTCCGACAACCGACGTCACCTATCGTAAAGTTGAACATTTTGTCGGTATACTTACTCAGAACATTTTGATGTACAGGCGTTATTTGTGTTCTTTACACTGACTTGAAAAATTCATCTCAGCTAAAAAATGGAATTAAATATGAACATTTCTGTAACATTATTTTTTACAACTTTCAACGTGGATTATCTCAAAAGCAGTGCATCGATGAACTTAATTCGACCAAAACCACTGGTGGTATACGGTATAATGGTACACAACCATTTGTTTGCCAGAAGTTTTCGGAAAAATAAGGGAAACCAGCCACCAAAGACGAACCATTTTCCACCAGGATAATGCAAACTCTCATACATCGATTCAAACAAGGCTTTTTGAGAACTGAAAAACTTGATTGATGAACCAGCCACCAAAGACGCATCATTCTCCACAAGGACAATGCAAACCCTAATACATCGATTCAAACAAGAGACTTTTTGAGAACTGAAAAAGTTGATTGATGAGTCATCTACCATACAGCCCTGATTTGGCACCCAATGACTTTTTTTATACCCGCACTCCCGCACACCAAAAATAAATTATGACGTCAACGTTTTTCGATGCTTGATGCTTCAAAATGTGGTATATGGTATAATGGTACACAACCATTTGTTTGCCAGAAGTCTTCGGAAAAATAAGGGAAACCAGCCACCAGAAGCATCATTCTCCACCAGGACAATGCAAACTCTCATACATCAATTTAAACAAGACTTTTTAAGAACTAAAAAAGTTGATTGTTGAGTCATCCACCATTCAGCCCTGATTTGGCATCCAATGACATCAAAAATAAATTATGACGTCAACGTTTTTCAACGCTTGATGCTTCAAAATGCATGTTTTGGAGGTACCTCAATCGGAATGGAAAAAGTGCTTTGAAAATTGGTTCAAGCGCATGCAAAAGTGTATTGATCTTCATAGAGAATATTTTGAAAAACATATACGATGATTAACTTTTTTTTTGTTTTCTATTCCTGAAATATAAAAGGCAATCCTCGTACATTACAATTGAATAGGGACAGCTTATCTGCTATTTCGATAAAATTTTAATAATCTTTCTAATTCACACAAAATATGAGAGTCTTCGTGCATTTTTTACCTATCAACAAACCTATATCGGTAAATACATTCTGCTCCTCACTAAGGTGCCTCTTATACTGCTTAAAGTGCATCAATTTGTAGTTGTATAGAATCAAAATTTCATCGATATCTCTCGGCTTTGGAAAATTTTCATCTACCCCATCGATATCTTCCTCCAATCTCGAATACTTACTGGCATCTAATCTATCCAGGCACTTTTCGATAGGGATCCAATGGTACGTTTCAGGACAGAGCAAAAATGACGGGACTAGTTTTCCTTTGTACCTCATTTTCTGGCAAGAGTGTATGTAGAATCCCATGTAGTAACTGCTCAGTTCCGGGATCTTTTCATGTAGAGATCTCACAAGTTGTACCTCTCTAGAAAAGACAAGGTTAATACAAGAACTCGCTAGGCATTAAGGTTTTATTGGTATTTAAATCTTCACCGTTTCATACGTGTCGAAAAGCCACAGATGCTAACCTTAGTGATCCGTACGTTCCTAAAGTAAGGTTTCTGTAATCGGGATCGTAAAAGAAATAAACGGAACTGACACATCTCGGTAAAATATCTATTACGCCCACTGCTATTAATTTGTCGTCTATCCAATACTGCTGATGAAAGGAACCGTAGCCCGGACCGTCCACTCCTCTGGGAAAATCAACAGGCTAGAATTGAATAGATGTAATAATTTTACTGAAATAAACCTGATACAAAGCTAGCTGAAAAAACTTGCAGGTTAGGTTAGGTTAAGGTGCAGTCTCTAAAATTGGTTACCTGTGCGTATTAAACAGTCAAACTAGTAAGTGTCCTAAAAAAAATGTGAGATAGGAAATTAATAACATAATAATTGTCAAAATGTTAAATTTTTCCAAAGGAGATTTTTAGGTTCCCGACTTCATGCATTTTTTAGCGAATGTTTTACTGGATTTTTAGTTATACAGGGTGTTTCAGGTTTTAATTGGGTAACGTCATCATATAATACAGCAAATTATTTTAAGCAAAAAGTTGCATACGAACATGGGCTGTAGTTTGCTTAGTTTTCGAATCAGAGGACGTTCAAGTTGGAAAAAAATATTACACATTCTAAAATATCTCCGAGGACGTTTGATGTACTTAGACTGATGAAACTTGTCACTGATTTATCTAATTAGAAATGTTGCTAAATTGACTCGAAATATGTTAACCAGTGACAGATACAGTGAGTCAATACCACCAAGAGCTTCAGAATTTCTATTCCACTGAATACTGTAAATTCCATTTATGCTTTTCATGATATTGCTAATAAACTAGGCGGTAGTGGTAGATTTTCGGTTATTATTTTAGTTAGCATATCTTTCAGACGGTTTCCTAATGTGCATACTCTTATAAAAATATTCATTGATTCATCCTGATGTCTTGATATGGAAAAGTGGCTCTTCACCTGTTCACAAATTATATATACATTTTGGTACCAATGGCAGCTCGTTAGGTGATGCACCGCTTCACCTAAATTTCCGTTTAGTTGTGCAATTTAAAATTATTTTTAATTTTATATAAATTTAAAAAATTTATTTCAATTTAAAATATATGGCTGACAAAAGTCTTCCATAGGAAGAACTCTGAAAATCTGTCTCTACCTTCTGGTATGTAAAAAAAATAGATATGACAACATATTCCACCAAACTTGTCTTGTATTTCAATAAAAATAAATCAAAATTGATGTGAGAGGCACTCTCACATTCTCTCTGGTCTTACAATAAATCTGACTCACCCTGTATTCATGGCAATGATAACGTTAAGAATTTTTTTGAATTAGCTAAAAAGGCTAAGCTTTTAAAACAATTATATGCTATATTGGAGTCCAGTAAACTAAAAGTTAAAAAAGCTTAATAACAACCATGTGACATTTAGTAAAACCCCAAAGCAGAGTAAAATATACCTCCAATGGTGTTTGGACAAGAAAACTGTAAAACTGATCTGGATCGGAGTCCTCTTTACTCTCATTATGAATGATCATTTGATATTTTTCAAAAAGCTCTGCACTTACGGCAAAAAATTCATGGTTTTGTGACATCCTCTCTAGGGTAATCTATAATAATTAATATACTTTTATTTTTACTAAGTCTAACAGTCTTACCAGAAAAATATATGTGCCGGGTGTCTCAGAGTTGAAGTGACAAAAGCCTTAGGGAAATTCCCCTCAGAAAAATATGTAAAAAAGTTCATACGAACTTGGGTCCGCAAGCGCTTCGTTTTTGAGATACAAGATGTTAATTTTTTTTAAAATGAAGTTATTTAAAAAACTGCTTTAGCCGATGGGAATGAAATTTGATGGTTTATTAAAACAATTAGTTATCGTACATCAACTGGACCAAAATTTTCAGGGGCAGCAAGAAATATCACCGCCGTGTAATTTTTTTTTGGATTTTATGAAACACATATTCAGATTAACCCTTTAAAAATTTAGTGAATATTACATAAAAACCGTAAAAAAACTACAGGGTAATTTTCTTTTCTACAAAAAAAAAAAGACTTGCTCGCTGGGTCAAATCTTGGTCCAGTTAATATATGATAATTGTTTTAATAAACCATAAAAATTTCTCTCAATTCAGCTACCTAGTGTTTTTTTTTAAACTTAATTTAAAAAAAAATTAACACCCTGTATCTCGGATACGAAGTATTTGCAGCCCCATGTTCATATGAACATTTTTACATATTTTGCTGAGCGGAATCGCACTTAGACTCTTGTTACTTCAACTCTGAAACACCAGGTATAAAAATGGAACTTCACATATTGTGCTTAAAAAAAAGTTTATATAAAAAAAATAATTTTAAGTTAAAACCCCTTAAAATACAGCATCAGATAGTTATTCTTTTACTCTGCTTTTCATAAATTTATAAAATAATTTAGAGAAAAAAAAAACATTTCAAATACCTGTAACGGAGAACTAACCAAAAATCTATGAAAGCTCTTCATGGACAATTTTGATGGAGGATCGTTGTGTACAATCATCTGATATTTTCTATACAATTCATATTCAACTTCTTTGACCCTTTCCCATTTAATATCAGGTTCGCTAGTCGGAACTAATTCTAGCTGAGAAAAGAATAACTATATCAGTAATCGTGTAGGCAGTCTGTCTTATCGTTAGATAAAATTTAGAGTATTACTATTTTATTGATAGATCCAAAATATTTAATATAGTGATGCAGCTGATTTTGAATTTAGTTTTTAGACAGACTGTATATGAAAAAACGACCAAGAACTGTTTCAAGTATTTTTTTGTGTAATGATGGGGGCACAACTACAGTCAGTGGCCAACTAATTTTTAGATAAATAAGGATCATAAAACTTCAACCAATCGTTGAAGATTGTGTTTTTTTTTAATTCAACATACCCTTAATTTGTGTTTGGAACTCTGTGAAACATCTTCCAGAAAATCCTCAATAGATTTTTGTGCTTGTACAGGTTGCTTTTTCTCCATGCTTAATCCATGTTCCAAAAGTTTTTCTTTTTTTCTCTCAAGTCTCAACAATTTCGCTTTTTTACACGGTGGTCTGTTTAAATCTGCCCCAACTCCTTCTTTATATGTACACTTGAAATTATTTTGTTGTGACATGGATTTATTTTGTGATGGATCTGTAAAGTCGACACTTTTTATACCTATTTTTACTAATAAAAAAAATAATTAACATATTTTCAATACTACGTCAAAAAGAACTTAAATAATGTGTTATTCTTATTACTTGCCATTTGCTGTGCTTTCGGTTTTACTATTTTTATTACAGTGTGGTTCAACTGTAGACAAATCACAGCTTACATTAGTTTCTACTTCACTTGGACTCTTATTGATTTTACTAAAATTAATATTGGGTCTATCTCTAATAAATATCCCAGAGGTATCAGGTCTGTCACTATTTTGTGTTTCTGGTTCAACATTTTTAATTAAAATACCATCTTCGAGATACTTGTTAAACTTTTTAATTACTTTTTTCTGAGATTTACTTACTGAAAAATTTAAGGCATCACATCTGAAATAGTCAAGGATATAGAGAGTTTAAGCAATAATTAACCGTAAACGTACTTGATCGTATATTGAGGACAGCATGTTTCGTACATAATCGGTTTATAGCAATATTTTCCTGATCTACGCCATCCTCTGTCTATTAAATTTTGGTAGTCTTCAACTGTTAGTGTTTCGGACCACATCCCTAGTAAAAAAAATCATGCTTTGGTCTAAATTTGTTTAGATTTATTTTACATTTACTTACCATGTGAAATGCTGCCATATTCGTTCTTACAGTAACCACATCTATGTTTTTCTCTGTCAGGGTACCAATAAACTATACTTTTGTTTCTTAATGGTGAATTCATTTCTTTATTATATCACATAGAAGTAAATTTGATTTTGACCTTATTAGATAACCCCTAAAATAAGTCGAACCACATGTTATGTTTAACAAATTTTTGTGCATGTACTGTATAAGAATCTAAATTATTAATTGATATAAGAATTACTAATGTTAATACAGAAATGAAGGGAATCACCTTTGTTCATATTTTCATCGAAAAACAAAACTGTCAGTAGTGTCAGCTAGTGATGGGAGATTTCGAGTGAAAAATCGAGTGGTACTCGATTATTGAGATCACTCGAGATATCTCGAGATGTTTACTCCCACCACTCGAGTGATTATTACCCTACAGTTGCACCCCAAAATGTTAGTGCATACTGCAAATAGTCACTGATTGCGTAACCTTTTTTTTAGGATAAAACGAAAAAGTGGTTAGGTCTTGAAGTGCGTGAGCTTTTTTTTTTTAGCTACGCTTATAAATAATATATGACTAATACAAACATATTTGTGCGCCGCTGGGATGAAAACGACCAATATCTCGTATCTCGAGTGATCACTCGATTATTAGAAGGACTCGATTACCGATAACTCGATTATCAAAATTAGTCGATTATGCCCATCACTAGTGTCAGCTGGTTGCTGGTTTGGTTGTCGTCAGTCGTCACTCGTCAGCATTCTAATTCTATGCCATAGAACAACGATCAACCAACCCGTAAACCAACACCTACCAAAAAGGATGAGAATAGCAACCCAAGATCTTTAGTCCTGTTCGTTGTGTCTGCTTGACGTACTCCAAGTCAATCGGAGTATTTTATCAGCGTTCGTTGAAGCCGAGCACAAAATATATGTTGTTCGTTATACGCAGTTCAGTGCGAGCGGCCGAGCTGAGCGGACGTGCTTGTTTGTGGGGTGAGGTGGTTGCAGCGAGCGGGATCTGCCTGCCTTTGTTGGGGCTGCCTGGAGGGAGTCCCTTTCTTTCCTTTTAATCACCGACCTAATCCCCGGCTAAGCATAGAGGCCGCCGACATCTTTGTTCAGGTACCTGTCCCGGGGTTATGCCCAGGTAAGTTTTAACTTATTTATCAGTTATTTGCATTACTTTAAAATACATTTCTTTAAAATTGCGACCCCCGACAAACAATATACCAGACAGACAAATACACCAAAAGACACGTACGCCCCCGTAAGGGGGCATCCCCACACGACTAACACTTACACACCCACCCACCCACACACACACGCGCACACACACACACACACACACACACACACACACACACACACACA